CTGTTTTGGTCTCTCGTAGCTCCTGGAAATTTTAAGCAAACCATTCTGGACCACTGGGCAGCATATACATAGATCAGAATGCCTAGCAGCATTACATGCGCAAATTCCAAACTGTACTTAGTGGTCAAACCCTTGGTAAAGCTTCCCAAATCAGTATTATGCTTCTCAGCAGTCCTGGAAAATGCAAATCAAGACACAGAGGAAGCCACATTTTTTTTTTTAGGTTCTTGCCTATGTATCTTAATTTATAAGGAATTTTAGTAATATTATAGGTTAAGGTTAAGACTAATTCTATTAAATAAGCTAGGGTGTTAGTTTATTTTTCTTAACTTCCCCTACATTGACCAGTGCATTAAAATGACAACAGTGCTTTGCTCCTTTGACTTTTTGTAGCATATTAGATCAGCTTTCATCACCATAAACTCATCTGCAACAAATTATAGGCCGTTAAATTTCTGGAAGCTGACTTGGCCAGTCCTAATAGCATGTCATTGAGCTCTTTGATCCACAAGTTTTGAAATAAATAAAATTCTTTGTCATAAATTAGATTTACTTAATTACATTTTTAGATTGCATTTAAAACTTTTAAAGCCAAAGTCATCTAAGAGCTGACATCAGGGGGTAATATTCTAAAAACAAGCTCAAAAGAGGTACCCCTAAATGGTTAAAAATTCTGTTGGAGATTCTGGCTTAAACCTCACAGATCATAAATTTATAATGAATGTTAAATTGGTATATTTTAAATATCGTAGGTTAATGGATTTGTGAAAATATTTCAGGATAAGAACACTAATAAGCAACAAATCAGCCATCTCTTGTGATTTAAGAATAGCAAATTAAAATACTAATTTAACTTATTTAGATACCTAGTTATTTCTAGGTTTAAGTAGTGTGGTTCACTCAGTTTAAATACTCCTGAGGATCACTAAAAATAGATTCTAGTTTTACTAAGTACCACATTAATATATCCTTATAGTATGTATATATGTGTGAAATGTATAAGACTTACCCAGTGTGGTCCTCCTAGCAACCCTTTTAAGGGTATCATTGTTATTATTCCCAATTTACAAATGAAGTTGAAAAAGTTGTTAAATAAATAGCGAAATATCCTACTCTCATGAAATGTCAGACCTGAGATTCAGCATCAAGTCTATGAGATGGCAGTGTAAGTGTGTTGTCATTTTTACATTTTTTCATAGGCTAAACTATAACTTATCATTGTTGTTGAATTTTGTTATTTTTATTTATGAAAAACCAGAAGTAAATGCAAATGCAATGCCTCCGTTCACTGCTGCAAAACACTGGCCTTTGAAGTAGCCACTTAGCTAGCTTAGATCTTAGTTGAGCATTTAGCAAAAGTTAAAATGTAATGCCAAACTTCATTGGTTGGATTTTTTATTAGATAAGGTAGAAATGAAAGCAGCAGGCAATTTAATTAGCAGTAATTTTTCTGGGCAAGTCATTACTTTGATGAACTTCAGAGCAATGTTTATGGCTCCTAATTAACCATGTTAGTCATTTGATTGAATAATCACTTTGGAAATGTTTCTACAATTTGATTAGAGTCTGACCCACTCTGATAGTCATAAATTAACTGATATCACTTTAGAATAACATGACTTTAGTTACTTTATGGGAATAAACTCCTCTTAGCCATATTTTTTCAGGCGTCTCTGAACGGTATGAGGACAGCAATTTTAAGGATAGGCTGAATTTAAGCAAGGCTAGCCAAGTGTCTCAATTTTAAAAGCTAGACGTTAGTTTTATTTATTCAAGAGTGTAATGTAATAAATAGTATTAGGAATTGGCAAAAACACAATTATATTCTCATATACGTATTTTTTCCCCTAAATTGCCATTCTTTGCTTTTTTAAGAATTTATATGAGAAGTTGGGTATTTGGAAGTGTAATGGAGATGCTGGTGTTAGACTTATGTAAGTCATTAATTTATTATAAATTTTAAACCAGAATATTCTAAAATATCTTAGATTAATTGTGAATAATTTTAGAGAGTAAAGACAGACGTGAACATATCAGCCATTTCAGTAGATACATAGTCGTGAAATTATTCATCACATCTTACATTTGATGTCAATTTTCTAGTTTTCCAGGAGCATGTTAATTTTGTATGAAGTTTGAATGCTTTTAGGAGGTGTTCCTTCACATGTGAATGGTAGCTTTCTCAGAAATGTTTGCATTTCCTTTCTTCCTCCTTTTCTCCCCTCTGGGAGGAGAAGACTGCATTTAGTCACCCTCACATGTAATAGAATTTAGCCTGTATGTTTTCCTCTAGCTGCTTCCAGAGCCAGCCAGCTGTTTTTACAGCCGCAGTCCAGGTGTGCAGCAGTCAATAAAAGTATTTTGTGGCTGGGTGTCAACCTTGGTACAACAAAATGCTTCCCTCCATGCAGCTGCCGAGCTGATGGCAGAGTTGTTAACACTGTCCCGTCCAGGCCCAGATGCTCTGAGGGACCTTAGGCTTGGCAATAAATCAAAATAACATTAAAAATTAACTTCAAGTACTATTAGTTAAAAAGTTGGGCTAAAATGGATTGCTAACTACTGCATAGCCCTAAAGATCAACTACAATGCAACTGTTTTGTAAATGCAGGTATCAGTACACAAGGTTAACGCTGCCTTTTGTAAGATCAGAACTATATACCATTTACTTTATGGACAGAAGGCATGATGTGATAAAACTTTTGATAATAATCTTATACTGTTTTCAACTTGTAATCATTTGAAAGGTTCTAAATGTTACATTTTTTAAGTGTAATTGGTATTAAATGCTTTTGCTATATACATAGAATGCTATGGGATGTACAAATTTATTCCATGGATGTTCTGAAACATATTTGTAACTTGTGAAGCTGTTACTTCATCACATTCGTGTGGGGTTACTGTTTGATCCAGTTTTAGCAAAGCTGATTTGGGTAAAACTTTGAATTTACATCCTGGTCAAGAGAGAAACCATTCACTGGGATATAAACTACTTTTGTCCATTTCTCTTGTGTTTGCTGCCTAAAATGTTAATTTCCTGCTGATGCTCTCTTCAGGGCGACTCATGTCAGTGTTTGTAACTCTTCTTTCTCACCCTGTCCATTGATCAGAGTTTTAACACCAGACTCTTCTCTGACCAGTGTTTTCTTCTTTCAGAAGTGCCTAGCTGCCACTCCATTTACATGAGGCAAGAAGGCTTCCTGGCTCATCCCAGCAGAACAGAAGTTAAGTTCTCCAACATTGAAATTCTTTATAAATATCTTTTAGAATAATCAGACAACCCAGGTTTGCGGTCACTTGATAAATCATCATATTCTTTATAAAAAATCATTGATATTTCCTAAACCATTATTTTAAAACCATCTATTTGAAATAAAAGGAAGATTTTTTTAGATCAGGATATCTTGGTTGTTAACTTGAGTCACATGCATAGAACCAGCTGAAAAGCGGATTTCTATGTTTTTTTTTTTTGCCAACAACCGCATTGTTTTAAATCAGAAGTTATGCTTTATAGATGATAGTGCTCCTTCATACTGCTTTACTGAAACATTTTGCTTTTCAGACCTAACTAATAGTTTTGGAATAAAATGCAGTAGATTTAAAAGTTTTAACCTTTAAATTTTCTGGATTTTACATTTTGGGGCAAGTCATTATTAAGAGTGAAATTTTACATAAGAGACCTAGAGTTTTTCTTGTTGACATGATTGTGGTAACTGTGGTGAGAAGGCTATGCTCTAAGGGACTTTGACACCAGCAGAGTGACAGATAAAAATGATGTTTGTCTAGATCTGTTTAACAGATAAAAATGAGGTTTGTCTAGATGTACCCCCACTAACAGATTTCTGGATAGATGTGCATGGTTCTTGCCCTAAAACCTCTATGTCTCTTTGTAAGACTGACTTAGATACATCTGTTTAAGTTAGGTCTAATATTCATTATTTGGCGTACATGATATTAATAGAAATGTGAATGGCGGTATGAGATGGTAATTCCAAAATAGTTGAGACCAAAAGTTTTGCATAAAATCCAATATAATTGTTGCTGCTGTTAATAGGATGTGCCCACCATGGAGGCCAATACATTTGAGAAATTGTAACTAAACTATATGAAATTTCTTCCTGGTAATTAAAAATAACAATTAGGAGAAGGTCCACAGTCAAAGATATTTGGGATAGAAAATGATTGTGAAAAGCTGTGAATGTATTTTAAACTTTTCTATGGACTCAGTTAATGGTACAACAAAAAAAGGGGAAGTTTTGGTTTTTACTGTCTTGTTTATTGAAAACAAGAAAGGCAACCTACCTAAATACGGTAGAACCAACCTGCATAGTTGACCCGCCTCCTTACATTGCCCACTCCCTTAAGTTGACCTAATTTTCACACACGAGACACGCACCACATAGACGTAGCTGTACAGTAGGCGTGGTTCCTCATGTTGACCACTTCTGTATGTTCACCAGTTTGTTAGACTCCCTTGGATGATCAACTTACACAGGTTCTAATGCATATCTAGAAGGTAGTAAGAGGGTTAAAATGAATCTCTTTCAGAGCCTCAGTGTAATATTGCAAGGTAAATACTAGTATTTCATTTTGATTTCCCTCTCTTCGCATATCAAATAATGAAACTTCAACAAAACTGAAAAAGTAAATGATTCATTATAAACACTGGGGTTTTCAATGTTTTCATGAGCTCCAGGAGCTCTAACATGGGTTGGTAATAATAAATTAGTATATATCACTCTGTGTGAGAAACTAAGTTTCATGCGTCAAATCATTAAATCTCTCAAAGGGATTAAAACTGACAGCAGCTATCATCCCCATTTTATAGATGAGGAAACGAAGACACAGAGGTTAAATAAATATCGTGTGCAGGGTCAAAGAGCTGAAAAGTGGCAGCCGTTTTCTATCACATTTTTGTATGAATGGTTGTATTTTGAAGTGTTTGTGAACTTCATTTCTATCATGAATAAATGTATTTCATTCACCTCCTCCCCCCACAGGCTGTATGTTTGAAAAGGGTCCAAGGCAGTTTTATGATGACACCTGTGTTGTCCCAGAAAAGTTTGATGGTAGGTTTTTTCACTGTGCTTCATGTTGTGATTTTTGCAGAAAAGAATGGTTACCCTTGTCGCTTCTGAAAACAGTTGACTTCCCCACTTAAAGATTTCTATGCACCTCCTTCATCATTCACTCATTCTAGCTAAACCCAACACATTACAAATTTTCTCTTTCCTCCCCCCCATCAGGAACCTTTTTTCTTTTGTCTTGTGAGAGAGTTCATTTTGGATGTAGGCAAAGAGCATCGCTCTTGCTGAGCTTTGTGCAGGATGAGAGGGGGCTTTCCCCTGCCCCGCCGAGCACTCGCAGCTGGTTACTGGAGAGTTATTGAAAGCTGATGCTGTAATTAACAAAGCCGTGCAGAACGCGCGCTACTGCGGATGCCTGATGACTAATGCAGCCTTCTTTCTTTGATTGTTCCTGAAAAGATGCATTATGGTACACAGGAACAACATAACTGTCCATTTAGTTAGTGATTGTTAGTCCCTCTTTTTTTTTTCCTGAGATGTACATTGCTAATGTAGCATTACTTTGTAATTACTTAAAAGGAAGTTAGGAAAAGCATTATCTTTTAAATATCACTCAACATGACAATGAAAAGTTTCCAGATTTTAGAAAAGGGTGGAAAGGGTGTCAAATTTGAGAGAAGTTCTTTTTTCTTTTTCTTCTTCTTCTTTTTTTTTTTGGACAAAGGTGGCAGAAGTGGGCATCTCCTAGGAAGCTTGGGTAAAAAGTGAACAGTTAATTGATTTAGTGGTTCTTCAGCCTGGTCTTCATATTTCCTGCTTTGATTGTTTAACAGGAAATGAGCAGGGGCCCTCTGATTAGCTGATTGCACAAACTTTGGGGATCACTGCTGTAATGACTTGGGAGCTCTCAGAAGTTATTAATTGTCATTATTTAAACAGCAAAGTACATGCTCAGATTGCTTTTCAATCTCTAATTAGTTGCTTGAAGACTATGCTGTGTGCTTAAGCTTTTTCCTATTCTTACTCTTCTCAGAAGGGATGGAAAGTCTTAGGAAGTGAAGTCTTCCTCCCGCTCTCTTTAAATCCTGAATTCATTCAGGGTCACAGGGGCAAAACCCCAATAGGGGTCACAATTTGAGTTGTATTCTATAATAGATGCTAGTTTTAAGCTGGGTTTCTGAGGTATGACCGTACTATTCGGCACCATTAGCGGAGCATTACAATACTTAAAACACAGCTTTTTCTCTTGAGACAAAATAAAAAGCCTCTACTTCCTTAATGACCTTCATTATTTCTTTCATATTTGGTGAGCTGTGTATTTTCAGAAATCCTGAAAATTAGTAAGGCCATGTCAAGAAAAAAAATCTCAAAAAAAGTCTCAAAATTATGGACAGAATTATGATGTCGTCTGCTCGGTCCCAGTCATACTAATATTTAGGAGATAATCTGCCTTGATTATTTATTCCCTTTGGCTTTTAAATACTCTTCAATTTTATACTAAAATTGGAAGATAGTATCTGTCTTATATTTTGTAAGTAATGGAAAGCAAGAAGAAAGAAAATTAGTGGATTTTTGTTCATAGTACATGAGCACTGCAATCAGTCACATTTATAAGCAGAAGCAATATAGAGACTGTAAAATGTATGTGTTTCATGCTATCTGCGTAATTGCTCAGTTATACCCATAAAAAAATTTGTGAATCTCAAAAGGAAAAACTGACATAAATAAAACTGTCATTGAAATCGATATGGATATATACTTACATAGTTAAGACCAAAACAGCATGATTTTTAGCAGCTATTGACTGAGCGATTTTTTATTTTGGTTTAGGTTTTTAAAGTGTTGCTCTTTTGGTAATTATTTTTTATTAAATCATAAACACATAGATCATGTATACATTAATGCATTTATGGGGTACAATGTACTGATTTCATATAGAATTAGGAACACTTACATCACACTGGTTAATATATACCTTGCCTCTTTTACTTAATTATCGTGTTAAGACATTTATACTCCTAAGAGGGATATTTCAGAGGAAAGTTTATGATTTAGTCTCTCTTTACAGAGAAAGCTTGTGATGTTGTCTCTTTCATAATTCACACTTAATGTGCCTAGATCAGCTTAAATATGTTGTCTGAATTGTTTCTTTTATGGAGAGGAGTGATTTATGTATTAACAATGATATACCTGTCGGACCCTGGATTCTATCCCCAATGTGACCACATTATTTTTAAGATGGCTGACTGGAGACAGAAGTAAATAATCAGAAGTCAGAAAAATTGAGCGTGTATATATATATGTTTTGGGGTTTTTTTTTTTTTGTAAAGTCAAGATTACTGGCTAGACTTATACCAGAAGCATTGCAAAACTAACAACTAAGTTACTATAATCTATTTAACAGATTTTATACTATATATGAAAATCAAATGCATACAACACAGATCATTCTTGTTCAAAACTATACATTTATAGAAAGCTCGAATGTATATATTTTTAAATTGGACTTTTAGAAAAAAAGAATTGCAAGCTAAATTCAAGTGAGCAAAATATAAATAAGAGCTAAAGAAAAACGAGAGTATTTTCATTTGTAGAGAAAACTGGGTAGGAGGGCAATCCCCTTTGCCCCGAATTACCCACAGGATTTTCTAATTTATATATAACTCAGAGTTTAAGATACTATTACATTTGCTCTGAAATATTTGCATTAAAATTTTAGTAGCTTGTCATTTGCAGGTCAGTGAGGTGTTTGCAAATATAATTTGTACAAATAAATTGCCCAGAACCTAAAATTGATTACTCCCCTCCACTGTTGCCTGGAGCAGTGAGTTATAGCATTAACAATAACAGCAAAGAAGTGTGACTGATACTATGGTTTTTAAAGAAATCCATTTTTAAAAAAGATAGGTATACGAAAGTTTTATAAATAAATGACATCTGTGTGTCATTTATGTTGACACGATTTATTCTGCACCTGTGTTCATTTATATTGACCCAAATGTGTTACATATCACTGCCTGTTATACAGATTGCTGGTCCATATTCAGCCATTAACTATTTCAAAATCCCTGTTTAATGGTAGCATTATATTCCATAGAAATTCATCAAGTGGTTGTGTTTTAACCATATTAGTGCTTGTTTTTATAAATTTTATTTAATTAACGTAATTTGCCTACTAAAAGACACTTTGAAACTTTTTAATTTAGGGGACATCAAACAGGAACCAGGAATGTATCGGGAAGGACCCACATACCAGCGGCGGGGATCGCTTCAGCTCTGGCAGTTTTTGGTAGCTCTTCTGGATGATCCTTCAAATTCTCATTTCATTGCCTGGACTGGTCGAGGCATGGAATTTAAATTGATTGAGCCTGAAGAGGTTAGTTTAGTAGATTTTAGTTAGAAAAATCAGATTCATTATAATGCAGAGAAACTGATATATTCAATTAATGTGCCAAAAATGTATTTTTTTTTAATTTTAGAACTTTAGCAAAACTTTCTGAATTAGAACGTGTGCAGAGAGAAAGCATATCTACATTTAAAATCGCCAATGTATTGCATATTCCCTCCAGTTGAATACAATCCTACAGATTTGATTTTGAAGAGTATCAATCACAGCTTCATCAACATGAGACTTAATTCAAGAAGGCCTGCTTGAGAAGTTTCCAAAGGGGTATCTAAGTTAGAGAAGGAGGCAGGAGTGTTCATAGTCCTTAGGGAAGAGGAGGAGTGTCCTCTACCATTCAGCTAGTTTTGGAGATGGAGGAATTATTCTTTCAAATTAACAATCATTATTTGGACAATCTAGATTTTGTCAACAGGACTTGAGAGACACATTTATGGACCAAAGTCATGTGCAAGAGAATAGTGTGTGTGTGTGTGTGTGTGTGTGTAGGGAGAAACATCTATGGGGGATGAAGGCCTGCAAGGGCTGCCCTGGAAAATTCTAAGTCCTTAAGTGTCTCTTCTGAGAAACAAGCCTGATGAGATCATGGCTTCCCTTTGATTGTCAGTGACACATGTTTCAAGTCAGCTGGACTGTGCACACTCCATTGGTAAGTTGAGAAGAAGTTTGAAATGTTGCCATAGTTTGGAAGAAATCACCAAAATGAAAGGACTTAGATATCTATAAATACTATAGGGATAAATGGAACACAACTTGAACCAACTGTTCAGCTATCATGTCCATCCCATTCCCCTCATACAAATGGAGTCTTTCCATAAAGAATATCTCAGTTCAGTTTCATTCTTCCCAGGACTAGCTTTAGGGTGAAGGCTAATAATTTAACTATATAGCATGACTCATCAGTAGCATTCTGGACCTCTCTAACTTATCAGTAGCGTTTTGGACCTCCAATAAAGTTGACTATTACATGAATTTTTTTTCTTCAAATTAAAATTGAATAGAGTTTACATCAGCCAAGACAGCTATGGGAGATTTTGAGCTAACATACCTGATAATGCTATAGGATCTAATCCTCAGTAATATGGAAAGAGTCAGTAAGGCTGAGAAAATTTTGAACCCAAAGTGATGATTTTCATATACATTGGGCATTCACAATGTAGACAACTGGGCCCATCCATCTTATATCTTCTGTCTTTGTTAAACCATGTATTCAATCATAATCAGAAAATATGCCCTGATCTGATATTCAGAAAGTGGTGTTACATCATGTAACATTTAAGAGATGATCTGACTCTGGAATGCATACAATTATAAAATAAGAGGAGCTGGTTAACTTAAATCGACTTCAGTTTATATCAATATCTGAGTAGCACTAGCAGTTTAGTTTTGTGGTATCTCCCTTGTCCTGCTCCACATGCACAAATAGGGCTCAATATCTGAATTTGAAAATACCCATTATCTAGGATGACGTTTGGGTATTTGAATTTTGTCATGTGTTTACAGCTTAATTTAACTGTCAAAGAAATTTAGTTTTTCTGTAGATGCACTTAATGATGTCAGTGAAAGAACCACAAACATGTGGAAGCACTAACAAACTGAGACTAGAAAAACTTAACCAAGTAGTGTGAAAGCCTTTAATGTGATGGGAACGTGTGCTCTTCACTTCCTGGAAGATGTTAATAATCCCTGCAAGAGTTGGTTTGTGCTAGAGTGAGGACATCCAACAGGGATTTGTATCAGTTAAACAGTTATTTCTCTCCACCTGTGAATAAAATAAACTGAGCAGAAACAGAATTTTTATTTTTGCCATATATTTCTTAAGATAGGGAACATTACTGAATTATGTCAGTAATTCTTGAACCACTCAGAAGATTAAAAATTCTATGCAAGCCATTAAGTTCTTGATAGAACAGCTGTTGACTTTTATGATGATCAAGTTTGAGTAAGTAGATTTGACCAGATGACCATTAAGCTTCATCAAATTCTGAATTTCTATGACTTTTACATGCAGGGAAGAAATACAGTTATATCTGTTGTATACAACAAACTGACATTCAGACAACTATTCTGTAACAGACTCATAAAATAAAAAAGGACTGGGTAATTCAGAGTCAGTAGACCATTTCCAAATAATAACTAACTCAATGGGAATTGTGCAATAAGGACTGAATGTCTCCTAAGGCTTTTGTTCAAAATGAAACCTCCCATTTCTGATTACTGCATTGCTCACTGTTGCAATTATTTCCACCAGGCAATGACTGTGGTGTCTTGTTTAAATTTCTTCTTTGGAAAAGGTTCACGAAATTTGTTTGGCCTTTGTGGCCACAGTCATTCTCTTCCGTCTACTGCCAGGCAGCTCCTTGGCTGTCTGTGTCACACAACTCATGAAAGATGTTTCTCAAGCCATCTTGTTGAAATTACTTGTGGGTTCCATTTCTGTATGGTTCGTTTTGATGTTTAAAATAAGATTTGAATGGGACTCCAGACCTGTACTGATTATCTGCTCAGTATATTTGGATAATTTTAGCAAACACATAATCTTTAAAATCTCTCTTTTTGAGATATTTGATATCAGAGACGTTGTTTTTCCACTCATCGTGAATGGGGAGTTGTTCCAGGAAATAATTGTTAACCAAGTGAGGCATCTATAGGTCTCAGTGTAAGTCTTTTAAGCTGGAAGACTTACCAGTTAAGTGTGATAGCTAGGCTCCGAGTATGGTTTCCCAGGTTGCTGTTACCAGATTCAAGCATGGATTTTAAACATAAGTTGAATAATGTTTGAAGTATTGGAACATTCTAGTTATGCCATTTGACAATAATGGTGAATGCCATAATGCCGTCGTCTTTTTATTTCCTCACTAATACCCTAAGGTTTCACTTGAGTCACTGGAAGCATTCCCACCATCTCTCCCATTCCATATTGAAAATTATGCCTTGACTTTGAGTGGTGCTAAGTATAGTGATGATTGCTGGGTCATAGGTGAAGGCTGAGTAGATTTTCTTAGTTGGTGGGTGATCTACCTGGCCTGGGAACTATTAATGTTACCCGTCAATTTGAAACTTGAATTTGGTCTTTATGTCCTAGGTATATTGCTATGTTCGATTTCCCTCAACATATTAGGAATATGACACCAAAACAACTCTAAGAATATATTTCATTGTTTTAAACTATCTACTAATACCCATGATACTGAGAATTAACTGGCATCATAAGAGTCAAACTGTGTTTATGGTATTAAAAAAATCATATTTCTCTCCCCTACAGGCCTCCACATTAATTTCTTAAAGTTTGTTGCGAATATTTTATTTTCTAGGTGCATCCTGGTGTGTTTCTAGAAAAGAATCATTTATAAATGAATAAGTGTTGAGAAATTCTTGTTTAATTTAAGGAGATATTAATAATTTATTTTCATACCCCCTCAGGTTTCCATTCTGTTCAACTACCATGTCCATTAAAGATTCACTCATGTCCATTGTCATGTTTTTGAAAGACATTTTATTTAGAAAATGGTTCTTTTTCTTATTGCCACTCACCCCTTATTTCATTATTGTTCAGAACATTTACATTAAAATAAAGTTTATCTCTGGACAAATAAGATGTACTACCTGCCACCGTGATTGTGTGCTTGGATATATAATCTTGTCCCAGTTATATCACATCCTTCTAGTTTTAAAAAAGCAGACTGATGTATGTGACCAAAGTACGTTTTTTATTTTCTTTCAGAAAAAACAAATTGATAATAGAGAAATTAGCAAGGATTTGTGTTTTCAAAAGAAAAATAAACAATCCTGGAGACAGATTATGGCTAATAAAGTGAAGAGAAACAAAACAATCTGTGTGAGAAGCATTGTATTTTGGTAGCTGTGAGATAGCAACAACTTGGAATTTCATGGCAAGAGAGGGAACACACTAACCCTATTGGATAATACTCTCTTGGGGTTGCCTCCATTTGTATGGCAGCTGCAATTTCTGCTCAGACTAATAAAAAGTGGAAATTAATGAGTAAGTGACTTTAGCTGGAGTACCAAAAATAGGCTACACTATTCTGTATCATGGGTCAAAAACCTTCCTGAGGTAGTGATGAGGTGGGGATATCCAGTAGACCCTCCGTAGTTAACCACCTCCACCTTCCTACATTGACCACCTCTTTAACTTGACCTAATTTTCATAAACCAGACAGGCACCACATGTATGTGTCAGTAGAGGAGGCCTAGTTCCTTAATCTTGACCAGTATATTGACCAGTTTGTTACAGCACCCTGGGTTGTCAACTTGCAGAGGTTCTCCTGGATATACTGCAGACATCGAAGAAGGAGGTTTTCCAAAAATTTTTATTGAAGAACTCTGCCTTAATCAGATAACACTGCTCCTTCAAAGCCACATAATAAAAAGCTCTAAGAATTTTTTACTAAACAACAAAGTAGACATTCTGCTTTAGAAATTTTTGTTTGTGGACTCATATGTAGTGACCTTTTCTACTTCCTTCTTATTTTTAGCAGCCAATTTCAGTTCTCTAAATGCATGTTTAATTCTCCAATGAATATTGGCTACGGTTTTATTCTGATGCTGCTTCGGGCAATAAAAATTATTAATGGTTTAGTTTATTAATTTGTATGCCATGTCCTCTGCCTCACATGGTGCCACTTGTTCACCCATTTATATATTATTGAAACAGGGTATCGTTTTTCTTTGATTTGTCACAACCTCAACAAAGCACCTTTACAAAGGGATGACACAACTGTTCTCAATGGATTGTTTTTGGTCTAAAAATGAAGAATTTAAAAACAGCTTATCACAGAATGGAAAACTTGCCTCATTTTGGTGAACTGCAGCCTGTTCATTCCTGTTGTAAACACATTCCCTTATTTCCATTTAATTTTCTATTCAAAACAATAGTGACAAAGAATTCTATTGTGATGTTTCATAATGATCACTGCATGCCTGGTTTAAAAAGCAAACCAGGACCCGGGAAATTCAGATGACAATAGTATTTGATACTTTACTTATATCTTTGATTTGGGCATGCTTTGATGGTTTTGGAAGTAGTTAACTAATTAATTAATTTTTATGAAATATTCTGGTGAATTTATACTTAACATTACAATGTAACTCTCTTTCGGTGGCAGGTGGCCCGGCGTTGGGGCATTCAGAAAAACAGGCCAGCTATGAACTATGATAAACTCAGCCGTTCTCTCCGCTATTACTATGAGAAGGGAATTATGCAAAAGGTGAGCAGCTAATACAGCATTAAAATTCATTGAAATGTTGCACATTAATCAGCACGTCATACTTTAAAAGCCACATATCATTGCTTTGCTGAAGCAAGGTTTTCACTCATTTTAACAAACGCTTAGCTCTTGCTTTTGGTATTATAGGACTTTCTATTTATAAATTCATGGACATTGTAGATAAATGTGTAATACTCTATGCAAAATAATCGGCTTTCTGGAAGTTTCTACTATACTGTGCGTGGTTTAAAAAATGGTGGTTTCAGTATTAATATTGCATCTATATATCTCTAAAAGATGTTATTCTGCTGCATTCTCCACAGTTATATAATTTTGAAGTGCTTTTGTTTATAGAGCCTAATGAAAATAAAGAAGCCTAGACTAGCTTAATTCTTACTTTTTTTTCTTTTGCAGTTTTTGGCCAGGGCTGGGTTTGAACCCGCCACCTTCGGCATGTGGGGCCGGCGCCTTACTCCTTTGAGCCACAGGCACCGCCCCTTACTTTTTTTTCTTGGTCTCATCCTCAAAACATTTAGACATTTCTTGTTCTCATTTGTATAAACTTTTTTTTTTTTTTGCCTGAATTCTTGCCTTGTTATATCATCTGACAGTTTAACATCCTAAACCACTTATTAAAAAAGAATATTTTTGTAATTTGGTTGGTAAAACTAAGTTCAACATATTTTGTGTCAAATGAACTTCCTGTAATACTTGAAAGTGACTTTTTCTGGGAAAAAGTAGAAATCAAACTAGTGAATCACACTTATAAAATATAAAATTTTGGAGAAAAGAATGAATAGATGAATAAGTACAGATAAAACATTTGGACCTTTGTGTTTGGTGTACTCCTCAGTCTTGAAAGTATTTTCAAATCTAATTGCCTTGACTGCTAACCAAGTTTATGATTTATCCACTAGGATATTACCATTTTATTATATATCCTTTGTTTATTCTCAGATTTGTAAACATAGTCACATGCAATAGCCTGTGGTTTATTTTTATGTCGCCATAGATGTACCCAGAAAAGACTAATTGCTGCATGAGACTTAATTGAACAGGGGAAAATGGTGATGTTGAGTTTCCTAGAACCTAGGCAATCCGTGCGCTAGATGCTGCGACCTCAGAGGCTCGAACTTCCAAAATCCTTACAAGATAAGGCTGAATTAGATTTCCCGTTGCTTGCGGTTTTCTGAATCTTGCTTTCAAAATATGTCACTATTCCTACATGCTCCTCCTGTCTTTTCCACCTCAACACTGGGGTCATATTCAGTGCTTGCATTTCTCTCACCCAACATGGCCATTTATAGCCAAGTCCTCATTTTCACCACCACCTTCTTTATGGAGGTGCACATCAGCGGGGCTGTCCCAGGAGGTGCTTGGCCATTTCCCTGGGCAGTGTCGCACGGTGTAAAAGACAGTGCTGTCACGATTAAGGTTTGAACTTACTTCTCACAGGATCACCTTCTTGAACAGATTCTTCTCCTACTAAATGGAAATATTCTTATTTCGTCAAAGTTGCTATTATTAGTATTAAATGAAATATAATGTACTTGAGATATTCGGCATTGTAAACGTCTCCAATAAATGGTAGCTCTAAATGCATCTCACATCCTGAAGGCAGCGGAAGCCGAGGCGTATTTGGCTCGTGTATCTTGCCCTGAAGTCTCTCATTTAAGTTACCATTGGTAGAGAACTAAAACTTTTTGTAAGATAATTAATAGCACCTCAACTTTTAGACACAGTGGCTGACAGGGTATCTCCAAGATGTCACACTAGGTGTTAAATAATCGAGTGTCCACCACTTCCTCATTCCCACTTATCCTCTCATCCCATCTCCCGTTTACGTATCCTCTTATTTTAATAGATGAATACGGCAAAATGCTATCAAACAGTGCCATAGATACTGAACTATAGATGAACATGTTGACCGTCACATTTCCCCTATTAGACCATAACTGCCAAAGGGAACTGTTTACAACTCATTTGTCAGCTAATGGAGGAAAATGAAATGCTATGCGTGACACATGTTTTGCAGTGTCACCGTATAATGTGTAAGAAAGGGCAGGTCATTTCATAGTCAAATGTGCAAAAATTAAGACCGGAAGGCCCTTGTAACTAGTACAACAGTCAAGGCCCCTTACAAGTTTTCTCTTTCTCTTCTTCACATTCTATTTGCTGTTCCCTGACACCCCCATGATCTCCCAGTGCACCACTCACATTCTTCTTTTTTTGTATTTCTTTATTTTTATTTTTATAATATTTTATATATTTATTATATATTTATTTTCTTATTTTTATACTTCTTTATTTTTATTATTTTAGAGAGGAGGGTCTCATTATATTGCCTGGGATGGCTTGAACTCCTGGGCTCCAACAATCCTCTTGCCTCAGCCTACAGAGGGACTACCGAGTACTCCACTGTACTGGGCTCCTCACGTTCTTTCTAGAGTGCCCTGTCCATTAGATTGGCATTAGAGAAAGAATGTTTTACCATTCTGATGGTTAAATAAATTCTAGTATGGTCGTTCAAGAGGTAAATGATGCCGTTCTTTTATGTATTTCAAAAACTACAATATAAAATGTTATATTTCAATATGAAGAGGAATATGACCACATTTGTTCATGGATTTAGAACTATTCATAGTCTTGTGTGGGTATATAAAAGAATTATATTAAAAGGCTAGAGAATAAAATAAAAATAAGTGTTTAAAAAGAAAACATGTTAATAAAAAAAATGAGTGTTTAAAAATAAAACATGTTAAAAAATGAAAAACTGGTAATTATAGGCAGTAGTTAGGAAAGAAATAGGAAACAGTGGTGTAATGCATGTTATACCTTATAGAAAAAGCACGTGTATACTTCCATTTCAGAATTGAGAAATGCCTAGAAAAATGTATACCAGTATTTTAACAGTGGTTATATTCTGAATGATATAATTATAGGCTGCTATTTCTTTTTACTTAATATGTAATTTCTAACTTAAGATCCAATTTCCCTGTATATAACTTCTGAAATTTCAAAAGTCAAAACAAAATTCATTCAGCCACTGAAAGCAAGCTCAAAAGCTACCTCCTTGTTTACGCTGGATTCATCTCCCCTGCAAAATTCCTGTTTCTGGTATCTCAGAGTTGCTATTTACACAAACTTAATGGATAGCATTTTTCACATTATAATTGTATTTCTGACAATGGAAGACCTCATTTCCATGGTTGGTTATCAGCCTTGATTCTAAGCTCTGCAGCATTTAACATAGTGCAATAACTATAATATTCACCCTAAAAGTGTTTATTCAAAAGGAAAATAGAAGGAAGAAGTAAATAAAGGCGGAGTCCTTAAGAGATTTCATAATCTCAACGCGTGCTATACAATTTAATTCTTTTATCACATCATTTTTAATTATAGCCAGTAGCAACAGGTTGGACAAAAAAGGTTCTGTACCTAACAAACCTTCAGTAGCTCCAAACAAAATAGAGCAGGTTAGGCCACTAATTTTTGCTTTCTCTCTCAAAATATCTCCAACAGAGAAGAAATAATGGAAAGCTGGGATTTATTGCCTCAGCTTTGTTTCTCATCTTGCCTCTTTTTATATTTATGGCAATTTCCCTGTTTCACCTTTAACAACTTAATTTTCATCATTTAAAGAACTAAAGTAGATAAACGAAGGCCAGGTTTCTTTCTCTGTTGGCTGTGTACTAATGCTAGAGGCTTACCATATCAACCTCACAACAGGCTCACCGAGGAGCCATTTCTGTCTCCATTTCACCAAAAAAAAAAAGGGGGGGGGAGCAGGGAGGGGAAGGTTAGGGGTAGTTTCAGAAATACATCTAAATTCATACAAACTACTTGATATTTTCAAAGTTGGGAATATTCAGATTATTTGAATTCTCTGAAGTGATTTCTCTTCCTTAAACTGAGGACAAAAAAAAAAAAAAAATTGTTATAAATTTGAGTCCAAAGCAATGCTCTTTGGTCATCATTCCTTTTCTCCTAACTTGTATCAGTGGGTGCCAAAAAAAAAGGGGTGTATACTTAAGAAAGTAAAAAACCGTATTAAGATTGTAATATTCAATCTATACTGATAACAAAAGATGAACTCAGGTCGCGCTGAGCTGAGCACCTCCTGGAATTGCAGAAGCCAGTGGTGACTTGAGTATCACAAATTGAATAGTTTTTCCCTTTCTTTAAATGTGTATGCATTTTTTGGCACCCTTTATAAACCAGGGACTGTTCTCCCATGTCACAAATCAAATAGCAGCACCTTTTTGATATAAGTGAATAGGAGGTGCTGAGTAATTTTCCGCTTTGTAGAATTCCTGATTCCACAGGCACAAACAATTCCTGTCAAAGCTAACACCAGAGACCGCAGTATTTTTGTCCCCCCACCACCCCCTTGCTCCTGTTTTTTGAGCATCTCTGCATCGTGTATTAACAGAAGGCATATTTGTCTCACTCAATCGCCCGTAATTTTCTAGAGAAACATTACTCTTCAGAATTTAAGTTTGGGGTATGTCATTCCCTACAAATTACCCGACTTTTCTTTTGTTCCAGGAGTTGTCACATTTCTCTTTCTCATTTCCGCCCAATGCACCTGTGTGTTTTAAATTCCTTTACTTTTTTACACTTCTTACTTCGATTTGACACTTTACACCCATCCTTAACTCCTGTCTAATGTATCATGTCTTCATTTTTAAAAGTGGCGGACCCAGGATGATTTCCTCTTGAACCATCTTTCATTTAAATAAGGCTATGTGTCTTTTTAAGGTGAGAATACACAGTGCCAAAAAAAAAAAGAATAGTTTACTCTGTGAATCACTGAATTACTAGTCTGATCTTGGAACAAAGCACATTTTTCTTTGAAGGTTTGTATGTCTAGTTTCTCTACCATTTCAGAAATGTAATTTTAAGAGGGAGACCCTACACCTTAAAGGTATGGGTTTTTACAAGTATAACTATTACTTTTCAAACAGAAAAAAATTTCAATGTGAAATGCCTACATTAAATCATTTAATTTTTTTCAGAATAACAATGTGAGCTTATCTTTATATTAAAACAAACAAACTTCTGAACTTTGTGTCTGGAATGAATGAATGATTACTCAAGGCCAATATTATGCATTTCCCTTCTTTGAACTACAGCTTATTTTAAAATGTTCAGATGTTCAGACTTTACTTTTCTTTCTTTCTTTTTTTTTTTTTTTTTAGAGACAGAGTCTCACTTTATTGCCCTCTGTAGAATGCTGTGACATAACACAGCTCACAGCAACCTCCAACTCCTGGGCTTAGGAGATTCTCTTGCCTCAGCCTCCCAAGTAGCTGGGACTACAGGCCCCTGCCACAATGCCCAGCTATTTTTTTGTTGCAGTTTGGCCAGGGCTATTTTATCGCCCTTGGTAGAGTACTGTGGCATCACAGCTCACAGCAGCCCCCCAACTCCTGGGCTTAGGAGATTCTCTTGCCTCAGCCTCCAGA